GCAACTAGTACTTCTCCTTTATATGTATTTTTTATAATCTGAATTCTTCTTGAATAACATGCTCCATAAAAATTTAATAATCTATGTAAATTTAAGACTACTTTTTGTATCAAATCCCGGCAAATTTACCAAACGATAACAAACGGCATTTGTTATTGTGATATGTCAAATTACTTTTTCTAAAGCATTCGATTCTTACAGACATAATTTTCTAATTTGTTTGCTTTGAACAGTAAACATCTGCTGTCATAGATTGCAAAGCTGACAGTAAACTATACGGTATGCATTAACATTACTGCATTACAGCTACTGTACATTGAACTACTTAATATTACAAGTAAACATTAGCATTACTACACTACAGCTACTTAACATTGCATTACTTAAGATTACGAGTATACATTAACAAAACTCCTTAACATTACAAGCATACATTAGCAGCACTATGTAACATTAGAAGCATGCATTAAAATCAGTCCATGCTTTTCACTGATACGATTGGTTTCAACATCTGATGGTAGACACTGGTGATGAGCTGAGCAAATGTCGCACTTTGCTGTTTTTAATAGATGAAAAGAGTGAAAATGTTAGACAATTGTCACTGAAAAATCGTTGCTTGCCTTTTCGAACAATAGTCGAACATCAGTAAAGACTTTGCGTCAAATATCACTGTAATTCTTTTAATAGAACTGAAGCCAAACTTAAAAGATATTACAAAAAAATTAGCTCTAAGAAGGAATCAGGCAGCTGTATGAATGAGTCAAGAGTACTAGATTTAGAATGACTTTACAGCATCTTTTGGTTTTTAAATTAATTTTACTACTTTTTCAGCTGTTTGACAGTTTTAATGACAAATTTTGTTCAAGGCCTTCTGAAATCAAGTAATCACTATAATTTACAGTTTTAGTTTTATGCCTGTTCTACTATTCATATTTTTCAATTATTACTGCTACTGTCCGAAAATGTATAGCTATATAAATATTTGTATTATACATTAGTACTAAAACTTTGTTACGCGCTGTGTATATGTACAGAGAAGCGTCGCTTATTCGCTTTTCATTTAAACATTTTTACGTTTATGTGATAGAGTCATTAAATTATTTTGAAGCTAAGGAAATGAAAAATGTGCAGTACCCTCGCTGGGACTAGAGCCTTTTAACTCTCGAATACGCTTCGGGTATGCTTTCAATTACACCACGAAGGCATGCGGAAGAAAGGATAAAATACCTTACAGTATATTGTTTCATTTTCGTCCCGATTCAGTGATTTTTACATCAATAGTGAAATATTTCATCTATTAATAGTCATAACTTTGGTTATACATCGATTTTCTCTTAATCATCGATGTTTATTTCTTTGCAATTCAAACAATTTCTCAGCAAGATATATCTTTCTTTCGGAATATTTGAAAGTTATAAGTTGGGATATAAGAAGAATTGAAGACATGGGATACCTCAGATTAGAAGGGTTTTATATCCTGCTAATGGATAGAAGAGGAGCAGCTTTGTAGGACAAAATATACAGTATTATCCGTTGACTTGAAAGGTTTGCTTATAGTAGTTGTTTCATTCCTGTATCATTTGATAAGAACATTTTAGTCGTACTGTTGATTGTAAGAAATTTAAATGATTAAATTTACTATTATATTATTATTTTTATATCGAATAATATAGAGTGTAAAACTGATGGGTTTATAAATTAAATATTTTAACTTCCTTAAAAATATGACAAAGACAAGATGATAAAGACAGAAATATATAGCAATATATAGACAGCAAGACGATACGACAAAGACGAGACAATAAGCAAAAACAAGACGATTCTCCTAAATCTGTATAATAGCAGCATTAAAACTCTATAGCTAAAAATGCCCATATCCGGCTTTTAAATTAAAATTTTGATTGTACTGATTTCTTATTTATATAAATATTCTTAACGTCCTTTTAAATATCTATAAATGATTCTTTTACTGCATTTTATATTTTTAAGTATGTATGCATATATATTTAATTTTTCACAACTATGCATTAAATAATGGTTTAACTACAGAAGTTAGTAAATATTAGAAACTTATTTTCCACTGTAGTATTTACCAAGCGACTCTTCCAAAGCACTTGAATTATGGTTGAACTACCAAAGTTCAGTAATTTGATTTTTAGGTATTCATAGTAATTAGACAATATATTAATTAATAATATAGCAATTATTAGCCAGAAAGTTTGGAAAATATTCCTTATAAACTACTTCTGTTCCATAATACAAAACAGGACTTTAAAAAAAATGAACAGCAGTGTTGAAGCCTTGAAATGTTGAACGAGATCTTGCTATGGAAGAAAGTAAGTCTCATTGTTTCAGAACTGAAAAATTTGTTTTGGCACTGAATCATAAAACTTCATCAAAGGCACATATTTCAACATAAACACTTTAATACCTAGTAAAACCAAATAGGTTTTTTGAGCAGAGATCTTCAAAAATCAATCATGCTGTAGCTAGGATTCGGGCTTCGGATCTTCCCATGCTAACTGGTAGTTCTAATTGCGCATTTTATGACAACATGCATGGGGAAACGGGAAAATCTTATGGACTTTTAGATGGTGAAGAAGAATTGTTTTATAGTCTCATTCATATGTTCTACGTTAAATATAAACTAATGTATTTGACAGTTCCAAAGAATTTCATTTTAAAGAAAGCTTGGTAATTTCGAGATTATATTAAACACTCATTTTTCTTAGCAACATAAAGTTGCCTTCTGTTCTCTCTCACTATTCACAGACAGTACCGATATCGCACGGTTCCTAAGGTTAAACGTGTTATAGGAAAACCAAATTCTTCTTTAAAATAGAACATCTGTCTATATACGATAAACTGTATCGAAATGCCGCAAATTTAAAGGAAGACAGTTATGCTATGGCATTAATCATTCTTATTGTTACACCCCCATTCATATTATCACAAGACTTGTTTATAATGTCCAGTTTAAGAAATATATAATACACTGCTTATTAATGCTTACTACTTAATACAATGCTTATTACTAAGTACAACCTTCATGTGTTTTTCATAAATTAAATAATCTGCTAAAATCCAAAACCTGAATAATATTTAATGAGGTTTTCATCTCAAGTTGTACACTATTAAATATTAACAGCAGTGTGATGGTTAACCGATTTAAAGATGCCTAAGAAAGTTAAATCTATCTTTCTATTAAAAAAATGAAAAGCGATTATGGAATAAATTGTTCTTTGGACAGTTAATAGGCATCTGTTGATATAAAATGTGAATACAAAATTTAAAAAAAACTGAAAGGTTTCAGATTTTAAATTACATCTAAAGGGGCATTTTTTAACGTTTTGTGTGTTACCTTTACTTATTAAATATAACGTTATAGAACGGAAGGAATAAATGTGAAAATTTCGTTGAAGAAATCACACATTTTTCATCATTTACTGAATGAAGTGATGTGCTAGTTTATTCTAAAATGTTTAAAACTAATATCGCTCTGTGGTTTAATTTTTTTATGAAGAATATCTTACTCTAAAGGAATAAAACAAGGCTTTCAAATATGTATATAATGTCCAGTCATCTTCCGTTCTTTAGGGAAAGAGTGGTTAAAGTATTTTCGCATGGGATGAAAATCCCTAGATGATTCTCGAAAAGGCTGACATTGGAGGCATCGGCATCAAAATACATTGCTCGTGACCAGGAGAAAAACATTGACTGAAAGGAGATTTTTAAATCGAGAAGATAGCAGCACGACTAGATATATCTAAACCATTGTTTTGAGCATTCTGCATGAACATCTTCATATGAACTAAGTCTTTACAACTTAGGCACTTCGACTTCTTTCTGCAATTCGAAAACAGTGACTTGTTGGTGCAATTCAAAAACCACAATTTAGGTTGAAGGAGCTTCCGCACTTTTTATTGAATCTGGTCTGTAAGCTCATACTTAGATCTAAGTGATTGTTATCTGTTCTCCAAACTGAAATCTGACCTTCGTGGGAAAATATTTAATGATGATGATTATGACGTAAAAGGAGCATTTATGGAACATTTTGAGATTAATTTTCAGGAGCTCACAATTTCTCATTAAATGATGGCAAAAATACAAGAAGGTCATATAAATTATGAAAATTTCTCTATTTATTTTAGAAGTAAATCAGGTTGCAAACTTGTATTTACCTACAAGTGTTCTGAATTACGTGCAAGTAAATTAGATGCCATTACGGATAAAAGCAACTTGAAATGCTATAAAAGCACAGACTATCACCGCTGTTAAACTATGCAATTTCTTTTCTTTTTCGTATTATCTTTTCGGTTTGTGTATGCTGAAGGTTTGTCATCATATATTTTCCATGAATCCCCGATAACCGAATTTTAAAATGTTTTCATATATTGTTGATGTTGTAGTTTTATATATCATCTGGTTAATTCTCCGTCCGCTTATCAGCTCTCTATTTACTGAGAGTTGATTTAATATCAAAAGATCTTAAGAGGGAAAAAAAAAAAAAAAATCATTAAAACCACTTTGAAATATATATAAATGAAACGGATTTCGAAACTTTTACCGAAATATTCAACCATCGTTCCATTTAAAATTCGTGTATTTGTTTAATACTGTCTTCAGATTTTTGTAATTTAAAGAAACGCAGATTACAAACAACTTCAACATGCTTTTAGAAAAATATATTAACACGCACATAGCACGAAGACTCGACACGAAATTCCAAAATCGATTATGGAAAAATATATACGGCACCCAAATTCACTATTTCGAATCATTTCGAACAAAAATCCGTGCCAGGAACGGCGATAGCTGCCGCGCCTCAAATATATTCTGTTCGGAAGATAACTTCTGTCACCTGCCAACCTGGCACTATCGCTGCCTATCACTTTGCGTGCGTCAACACCAGCCAAGGAAGCCAAGCGCCTGTCGCCAAAACAGGCGCCAGCACGGAACGAGCTGCCGGACCAATCGCAGAACCGCAGATATCCAAACGACCTGTATCTGTGCAGGTTGTCCAAGTGCACGACAACCGTTTCTTTCGTCGTCTCGCATGTGTCGCCCGCGGCACGGGTTCGGATCGATAGGTCCATGAGCGCTTGCCAGTGTCTTTCTTTAGCTCTGTGTCCTCGCCAGAAAGATTATCAGCTATGTCACTGAACGATTATTTTACAGCAAATGGAGCGGTGTATTTGAGACCCGTCGGCCTGCCGGATTGCTTCCCACTTCCAGGTAAGCAAGAGTTCCGATCCTCGTTTCAAAGAGTGTTTTCATCATAACATGATTCGCAATTGGGCTACTCCAGTGTGATAAGCTCCTCTCAGATACTGTTTCGCTCATCCATGGATCATCTTGTGAAAAATGGAGGGCTCAAGCAAGAATCACAGTTTATTTTTAATTCGTAAATGACCGTTTGAAAAGAATAATTTTAAAAAAATCATTCATCACTGACGTTTTTTTAAAAATTTTCTGTGGGAATTCAGAGCAAGAGTGTAATTTCTTATCGATATGAAGAGTAAAAATGATATATTTCAAGGGAATAAATGTTATATATACTTTATTAATCATTAATATACATATAGAGATAGATTAATAAAATATATTACGTTAATCACTCATTTCTAGGATTTATATCCGAGTTCGTGGATAATATTTTCATTTCATTTCCATAATTTGTGTTATTTTACTTTTGTTGCAGGTAACTATCCACTGTCAAAAAGGGAAAATTCACATATAATTTTCTCTCTTGTTAATGTTATACAACAAATTATATACATAATATTATCAAAACATAGTCTAATTCAATTCAAATACTATATTCAATTATGAAATTATGAATTCGCACACGAAAAGAATTGCTAATGCCAAAAAATTATGGTAAAAAACCAGCAATAATTTGAAATCTGCTCCAAACCTTTTACATAAACTAAAGTAGTGCAAAAACATTACTTTTTCTGTAGTATTTTTTGCATTATTTTAATTTTTTTGTGTGTAAATTTATTATTCAAAGACTGAATATGGCATTTGAAATCGCTTAGAATATGCTTTTATTTTAATAAATATTGCTGCTGGTATAGCAGATTTTACGATTTTTAGTTTTTGGATTTAATTTTTTCTTTGTTTAAAATATTTAAATTTATTTCTGTGTAACTTAAGTATCTTTATCATAAATAATTATCCTCTTATAAATTGTTCGTCTTGCTGTAGGGATTTATTGAAACAATGCCAGTTTGTTTGATTTGAATTAGTGCATTACAATTGTTTTTTTTTTTTTTTTTTTTTTTTTTTTTTTTTTAAAATATACAATATTTGCACTTCTATGGTTTTGTTTCCTTTCATTTTCTATTTCCAAATTTAAGACACAAGCTATATATACTACATATTTTATTAAAATCTCTAAAAGTGAAAATTACATATAATTTCTCTCTTGTTAATGTTATACACAAATTATATACATAATATTATCAAACATAGTCTAATTCAATTCAAATACTATATTCAATTATGAAATTATGAATTCGCACACGAAAAGAATTACTAATGCCAAAAAATTATGGTAAAAAACCTAATTATGGTAAAATTAAAATTATGGTAAAATTTGGTCTTCATGTCGTCTTGCTGACTCAACATATTATTAGAAAATGAAATACATTATACATTACTGCAAAAATATACAAAATGCTTACTGCAATTTAAAATTAGGCAAAAAAAGAAACTTTAGTTTGGCGTAGATATTTAATAAAACACTGTTAATTTGAAACACCATTTCCTGTATTTAATAAAACACTGTTAATTTTGAAAGCGGAAGTCTTTCCCCCCCCTCAACCCCAATTTTTTTTCCTTGAAGAAGAAGAGCCTGTGTCTTCAGAATCGAAAGTTTTATGCAAAATGAATGCCAACCTAAGGCTGCCTTTTTTGCCTAATTTTAAATTTTACACTGGCATATTTCTGTTCCATTTAAAATTAATTTAATCCCATTCTTGCTGAAAATTTAGTGCATGATATAGTATACCGTATTGAAGAATATGGGTTCTGACACTTATTTAAAAGAAGCTCTTTGCTCGAAGGCTGGGTTTGGTTTGATTTGGTTTATTTAATTACGGCAAAGCACACTAGGGCTATCTGCCTAAGGGGATGGATGCCTTTGTGGAGGACTTTCTAAAGGAAACTGACTCTACACGTTACACATGGGGAAAACTACGAAAACGCCCATGCAGCCAACCCGTTCGCGGGATTCGAACCTCGAACCGAATTACCAGCGTTCAGCGACTTTACCGCTCGGCCGCTGGTGGGCCCGTTCGAAGCCTGGGAAAGTTACGGTATTTTACATAGAAAACATGAATCTTAATGACTTCAAAAACTGAAAAATATACGACTATAAAACTACATATCTAATCAGCTAAATCAGACTACGCGATGTGTAAGGTTAATTTTGGCTAGCATGTTACTTTTATGTTACTTACTTCACGTACATTCTATGTTTCTTCCATCACCATCGCCAGAGTTCAAACCATTAAAATGAATTTAAATAGCGAACGAGTCTTTAGATAAGAAAAGGAGTTATATCAATTTACCAGGGGACAGTTTATTCCCTAAGAGGTCCACCTGTTTGATGGCCTAGGCTTTGGTGAGTGATTTTTGGTTTGTTAGAGTTTCGGGTGACAACAGCGGTATCTGGAACTAGGTTTCTTAGTCACTGAAAGTTATTTTCCATTTTTTTTAACAATTACGAATGGGAACACTCCATCAGTAGTGGTAAATTGCATAACAAGACGTATTTCTTTAAAGAAAGTTTACTTGCTGTCTGTATTCTTGAAATTCTAGTATCTATAAAGACAATAACTCATTGAAATGGGTATCATTTAATAGTTAAATAGGTTTAATCTTGAAGAATATTATAACAATGTATTTCAAGATATCATCCAGAAGTTCATAAGCTTTAATAGTATTTGCATTGGAATTTCTATTTACATAAACTCTGTTTATAAAAGTTCATTTTTGTGGAAATAGGAATTTTTATAGAACACCGTAGATAAATTTTTGCACAGTCAAAAGTAACCACAAACCTAGCATTAAACCACAGATTTTATTGCTGGTTATAGAATTCACTGGACAGTTTTACTAGAGATTTGTAAATTTTTAGACTTTTTCATGCGTGTAGTCTACTAGAACACTAATTAATCTTCGTTGAGCGATAGATGGTTACGTTAAGTTCTAAAGTTAGGGCAAAGCATAAGTGAACCGCTTGCTGAGGTACGGGATCTCTTCGTGGAGAACTTTTGTAGGGAAACTGACTCCCATTCGTATTCGAAAAACATTATAATTTTCCAAATGGTTTGAATAAAGAAAAAAACGAAACGAATTTATGCAGCCAGCTCATTTGCTTGGGTTCAAACTCGGGTTGAACTACCAGTATTCAACGCTCTTCAAACACTCGGCCACTTGTGGAGACTAGTTAAATAAGCAGTAGAAGAGACTGTTCAGCAGTAGAAGAGACTGAAGTTGGTACTCATAATTTATTTAATTTCAAATCACTATAAAATGATGAAGAAAAAATATTAGCGCAATGCATAATTTATTCGTTGCAAAGAATAGGTAAATGATATCAAAATTTTGTATAAATGAACCGAACTGATATTAAAATAAGCAGCGTTTAATTTTTTTTTAAATTTAACTTGCAGTAATAAAATTCACATTAATATCCTTGCAATATGTGTTCAGATTTTATGTATTTCACGTACACAAAATTTTTAATTTTACGTCATGTACAATAAATTATTAACATAAAGATAATGTTGGGAAATTAATTGAATAGCTCTGCTCTATTATATGAATATTTATGATTATGCAGTATTATTTTCGACACTTAATTAAAATGTAACAGATTTGATGTACATTTTCTACATCCTAGATAAAGCTGAATTCTCTTTGAGATTTTCTCTATCGCCTTCCCATGGAATTTTAGAACTAGTGATATGTTTTTAATGCTGGTTATAAAAATTACCTTTCTTACTATAATTTTCTTTAAAATCATCCCCATGAAACTGAAATATCTTCAAAATATTATAAAAAAATACAGTTTATAAAATGGTTTTCTAAAAAATTGTAAATATATATATATATAGGATGCTAAAATTAAATATGTTTATTTAAATAGATGATGATAAAAATAATTGTTTTATATAAACATAGCCCATGGAAATAGCGTCAGAGAGGTGACTTACACCCAGGCCATCGAGTAGCCCATACACGAGTAAGTTCTCGGAAGCCTTCCAAAGGGGCCGTAACACAAGAGGATTTTACGGCCAAATCAATCCTCTAGCCATCATACTGTCCGAGTTGAGACTTGACTGTACCGTTACGAATCCCTGCCACGCCTGTCGGACCACTGTAGAAGCGACGAGTCTACTCGGAGTCCTGTGAAGGCTCGTAATCTTTCCCAGGTCGGCCACTTCCAACGTATAGAAAGAACGAACTACCGTCACAGCGGGAAGGAGTTTTATGTAAACAGTTGAAAGAAATAAAAGGCCTTCTTCATGGGCAGTAGTGGTAAATGCATCTAGTTAACATATGAGAGGTTTCAAGTTCGATTCTCAGAGAAGACACAGCTGAGTTTTGAAGCCATCTTTTCAGGAAAAATATTATGACTTTACAATAGTACCCGAAATAAAATGTGATGGATAATAATTGATCATTACTTTACCCCCCTCCTTTCATACAGTTGCATTTTAAGTGTAGGAACTACAAGGAGTAGAAAATGAGTTCCAACCTATGTCCTTGCATTGTGTAATGATCATCAATGTATCCAACTAGCAAACTAAAAAATCTAGTATTTTATTCCCAGTGAGGGTACTTCTTACCTTTTAAGATTGCTGCTTGTAGGAACTTCTTTGCATAGTTTATTTTCCATGCTGTAAACTCAAAATATTTTAAAACTAAATAAAACGATATCCTTGTTTTTAATTCTTATAAAATTAATAGTTAACAAAATTGGGAACTTAATGTAAATCGACCTCCCTATTAATGTAAATTGATATTTATGGAAGGGTTACAAGCCAATTAAAAACTTTGTTTGCATGCTTCGTTTTAATACATTAGATGTAGCTTTCTAAGGGAATTAAACGTTTTTCGGATATTCGTTTTTGATTTTCTCTCCGTGTTGTCTAATTAATCGGATAACTACTCTAATGATTTATGGTTTTTACCTTTCCGGTTAATAATATTATTTATTT